TTAAACCACCTGAAAGAAAACCCTCATGAAAATTTCCTGTGCTCTGAATGCAATGCAAGCACCTGGATGCTCTGAGATATAATTCTGTCCAGGAGAATTCTCTCCCTTCTGCCCACAGGTATAAAAAGGAAACCAGAAAAAACATTCTCCTCTCCATGCGGATTTAGTGATACCAGTGTGATGGACAGGTTTTGTGTGAATTCCAAAATGCAATTGCCTTTCTTTGGCCATTCAATTATAAACTCCCGGTGGCTCTGAACAACGGTCCCTAACTCAAGCACTTATTTCGGAGGTAGTCCCTTTAAAAGTTGACATACAATTTTTCAAACTTTGTACAACAGGAAAATACTTGGGCAAGCAGGATATGCTATACCTTGTGGCATAAATGTCTATTTTTAAAAGTACATATGTAAAAATTAGCAAAAATCTATAAACACAGTCTTGCTGTATTCAACAATTTAAAAAAATCTCCATCCCACTTCCCATATGACTGGCAGCTTTTACCACTGCAGATACAAAATTAAGAACTCATATTTCATGGAAACCTTTTGTTGTTATTTGCTTGGCTTCATATCTTAGGTTGTATTTACCGTATCAATTTTTAAAATAATTCTCAACAAGGTTTATTAATGACTGCTTTCTCTGTCCTCTGAAGATGTGGCCTAATGAAGATTTGTCTAGGAATCTGCACGAGCTCTTTCATGATAATGATGAAAATAACTTGGAAATTATCCCCATGGCTATAAATGAAAAACTCAAAAGGCAGAGATTCAGGAAATAATGAAGTGTGTCTTATATTCAGCACCTGCATATTTTTAAAAGTCCTTGGTAGACATATTTGTAGACCACATTTTATGCATTTGAACACTGTATTTCATTTTGTATTTTGCAGAGTGCAGTGACCCTACCACCTTAGTATTTTTAAATGTGCAATTTAAAAATTTTATCCACCATTGTATGTGTGACTATATTAGTTTTTAAGAATATGTATTAATTTCAACAGTTTCTCAACATTCCAAATATTATTTTCCCACAGTATTACCAGTACTTGATTGTGAACAAAATCTGAATTAGGTAGGGTAAGGCGGTTTGTTTTTTTTCCCTCCCCAAAACATTAAGTTATCCTTATTTTCTTTTAGGTTAGCCCTGTACAGCTTTCTTTAAGATACCATTTACTATTCTCAGGGAGATGCAAATGCATTAAACTATGTTCATTTTTTCTTTAAATCTAATTATGGTCCCAGCGTACTTCATGCGGAAATGTGATTGGCTGCTCAGACTGCCCGTGCACTTCCCCTATCTTCTTTAAAATCTCGATTTCCTGTTGTTACGCTCACATTTCTCCTGTGAACTTTAGACAGTGAAATAAATGCTTTGTCCTTATTTTCTAGTTCATTTTCCTTCACCTGTCCCGAATATTGTCAGGAATGTTTCTAATTTAAAACTAAAAAAACCGGGGGCTGATTAGAAGACAGGAAATTGAGGGATTAAACTGTCTGGTTGCACTTCCTTCACCTATCAGTGCTCAGAAACTCACTCTGGATTACACACGCAACAGGGTGCTTTTTACAGCACATTGTTCCTGCTGGGTGTTTGCCTGTACACGGTGCCCATGTGCGTGGTGCGTGTGTGTGCACACGTGCGTACCTGCCTGGCTGTGTCTGTAAGTCCGATGTGCCCTTGTGACCGTGTGGGAAAGAACTAGCAGCTGGTAGCTATATGTGGACTAGTTGTGAACCAAAGGGGCTCACACTATGGGCATGAAAGTTTGTTTCATGACTGTAATCCCAGGGTATTTAAAAACTTTACTGAAACAGCTCTGCAGCCCCAAGCAACAATGGCACACTCCAGGAAAAAGCAAGGAGCATTGCATTGGAAATGGACAGTAGATCACTGCCACCCTTACGCTCCCCACTGCGCCTCAGCTCTGCTCTGAGTGCCACATGCGGGTGTCGTGGGCGTGGGCTGGAGCGGGGACCCAGCAGAGCCAGGGGGTCATCTGGCAGCCCAGAGCCTCTCTGAGAGGCCCTCAAACCCCCGAGAAAGGGTTCTGGATGTGCCGAGCGGCGAGTGTTAGGAAAGTGTGTTTGGCCAGCAATGAGACAGAAACCCAGGACAGCAGGGCAAGGACCTGTCCCATACCCTCTGGTCATCCAAAAGCAAAACCAGAGTAAGAGGGCCGGCATGTGCAGGGCTGGGTTCCGGACACCAGCCTGAGAGGGGCTCCCCTGCCCCCCACCCATGCCATTCAGCGCCAGCGTGTTCTCAGTGGGAGTGGAGAGGAAAACGTCACCTGACATGTAGTAGTCAGATCAGCCATACTGAGAGGGAAGGGAGGAGGGCAGGTTCCACAGCCATCCTGGCCTCCAGCCATTCAGCCTGTGCAGATCGAGCCCTACTGAGGCCGGGGTGGAGAAGCAGTTGCTGTTTCTGCCACTGCTGTCAGGCTGGCTCTGCAGGCACTAAGGTACCCAGCTGAACCTGCCACCCACCTGAAAAGCACTGACTCATAACCAGCTGCTGGAGTCTGTGCCAAGGCTGTGAACCCTTTGTTTCATGGAATCTTTATCACGAGTCTACTTTACATATAAGAGAACGGGGACTTAAGAAAGGTCGCCAACTGCCCAAGAATATGCACTTGCTCAGGATAGCACCAGAGCACAGGGTCCACTTGCTTCATCGTAGGCCTCGTTAGTCTGAACAGACTGGTAACCCAAGTGTGACGCTATGTGGAACTGTACATGACGAGGGCTATCCATCCACAGAACTGGCATTGTGTGGGCACAGACCCATTTGCTAAGACAACAGAGGCAGAAAAACATGCAGTGTCCAGAGCAGGAGCAGGATGCCAGTCTTGGGACACGGAGCCTGTGCCATCCATCTCCAGCCCAGGAAATTCATGGCGGCCGGAGGCTCCCTGCGGAGACTGCTCCCACCCTGCTAAACGCACCTTCCTAGCGGAACACGTGTGGTCCAGGGAAACCCTGTGTGGCCAAGTTCTTGCTGAATATTAGGGACATTTAATCATTAGTTAGCAAATGTTTCACTTACAGTTTTAAATGAACTATACCATTTTTTCAAGGCTATCTTTCCAAAGAAAGTTTCCTGGGTTTGGCTCTCTCTCTGAAATGGTAACATGGAATAGTATTGGTGCTCAACATTTTTCCTTGCCAAGGGAATTGCTAATTATGGGCTAATTTCAATGCAAAGTTTTCTGTAAGAAGAGACACAATGCAGGATATCTATTGCCTGATGGCAAAGATCTTAATATACTTACAAGTAAATATCTATTTTCCAGGCAACTGGTGACTATAAACAGTGTGTCTTGGCCAGAGCTCTTTAACAGTGCCACAAGTTAAATGGATATTTTATTCCTTATAATCCAAATTCCTTTTCCTATCTTGATGCACACACGCTATAGCCCTGCTGGCTATGTGTAGAGGGCAGTAATTAGGAACCACAACCAGGTTGGAGGTGGGGCAGCCTGGGCAGCCTGGCCCTCCATGGAGCCGGGGTGCGTGGGCAGAGGAGGAAGCCAGAGCTCGTGGGCTGAATCAGGCACTCGGTACCTGTGCCAACCTGCATCACACACCCCATCTCCCTGTGCATCTACCCTCATGTAGGGGCAGGACACTTCGGCTCCCAGGACAGTCCCGAGTACTCCCCAGACCCCTCTCCTCCCAGATGTGAGCCTCTTTAGTCCCTGGAAGGAAATGCCTTCACAGCTGGGTTTCATAAAAACCCCCTCAAATGTTGAAAAGATAAACAATCTCAGCTAATGATTGATTTCATCCGTTCACTTAAGAATCAATTAAAATCATCGTGCATCGTTTTGTTGTGTCTTTCTGTGTTTTAAGAAAGCAGTAACCTCAGTGCTCATTTTTGTAAGTGAAACAATCTGTTAACAAGTGTTATGGTCTGGACTCATCCTAATAAATAGTAGGGAGCCTCTGGACACTTGCAGTCCATTGCCCTATGCCAAAGTCCTAGTCAGAGCGGTATTGTTGGTTAAGAATACATAAGAAAAATGCAAAGAATTCAGGGGAAGGATAACTATGCATGGGGCTGCTGTAGTTTCTTCAGTGAGAAGTCAGGAAACAATAAAGCTTAACAGAGATGCTCACAAGTGCAAGTATCTTTAGGTCTGAGAGGTCAGTAAGGCTCTACAACAGTGCTGGTGAGCGCTTTTAAAGCTTTCAGTCATAAACAGCCGGCTTTGGCCTGTGTGCCGTAAGTTTGCCACTGCTGCTCTCGAACACGTACAGTGGGAATGGTGGAAAACATGCCTGTTTACCACTCGATAAACAACAGGGACTGGCACACACTAACAACAGGATGCATCTGCTCCCTGGGGCTTCCAGCTGCTCAGCGTTTGCATGGATCAGGAGACAGACCGAGACTGGGCTTCAAAGAGTTTCATTCCACGAAAAGCAAGACTCCTGGGGCTCCACATGCCCGGGGGAGGGGAGGTGCTGCAGCAATGTGAAGGACAGAAACTGTGCCGGAGAACCTTCACCTGGGGGCTGCTTCGCCTGGCAGGCTATGGTGGGCTGGAGAACAGAAGCATCCAGGCTCTTCAGGTAGCAAAGGGGGCTAAGCCAGGAAGGGCACTGGCATGGGGCTACCCAATGCCAGAGGGTGGGCCTGGGGTGCAGAGAAGAAGGCTCGGTGGTGCCAGCTGCAGGGCCACCCCAAGTCCACACTCGCCCTCAGAACCCCAGGGCAGCCTTGGCGTCCCTGGAATCTGGTGGCAACGATTTCCAGATGGGGGGCTCTTAGCACCCAGGCTGGGGCACACAGCCTGTGGACCCCACCCTCCTGCAGGCCCAGGGTCTGGGTCCTCTCTGAGCCCTGCAGCTCTTTGCTGGTTGTGTCCCAACACCACTGAACTGCGGTGGAGTCTCCTGACCCAGAGTTACACTGAAACCTGTCTGCAGGCCACACCCACGGCAGGCATCCAGGCAGAGCGCAGCACACGGGGAGGAGCGGCTGCAGGCCTGTGGGTCCCGTGCCTCTTTCCCCAGAGCACCAGCTCAAAGCCCGCCCTGTAGGCCATGAGCACAGAGACCTGTAACCCTGGGTGCCAACAGCTTGCTCAGCTCGGCTCCTGGGCCCAGCTAGTGCTCTGCACACAGCGGAGCTCCTCCTCCTCCTCAAGTCCTTGTGCCATCCCAGGAGCTCTTCCCCAGGCAGCAGTGAGGAAACAGTCCCATAACAAAGACGCTGGGGCAGTTTGAGAAACTCGGAAGCTGTGCTTGTCACTCGGGCACTGTCCTGACGCCAGGGCCTGGCACCAGCTCACTCCGGTCGGGGCTCAGAACACGCTGCCACCACTGCCTGGACCATGTCCCCACCTGCTTCACAGGAGAGCACAGCCCGAGGCTAAGGCCCCCAGGCTCGGGGCGTTCAGCCAGGGCCATGATGGTTCCTCAAACTGCGTGGCTTTCTCCCTCCCCCAAAGGGTGAGGTAAGAGGAGATTTTTATGTTTTTCCCTCTGTTCCTGTATATGTGGGTTTTGCTTATAGAAATGCTATTGAGCAAAGCCACACTTTCCCAGACACCAGTGCCCTCCTTGACCCCGAGATCAGCAGGAGCACAGCTGCAGATAGCCACAGCTGGGGAGCTCGGGTTGGGGGCTGCGCCTGCTCCTGGGGTCACGGGCAGGAATGCATGCTCTCCGTTGCAGTTGGGCTGCCCGCTTCTTTCCTTGTATCTGCCCTTGAGTGCTGGCTCTAAGACTCGCCTTCCCTCAGTGGCCATCCTGTCCAGGTCTTGCCTTCCCCAGTCAGGACCAGAGACTTCCGACTCAGGCAGACCCAGTGAATCCTGGTTCTGTCATGGATGTTAGTCATGGGTTCGAACACATCTGTTAACTCACCACTCAGGGGAGGGAGAAAGCCACATACCACATGGAATGGACACTGATGTTGCCACTCTGAATCTGTTTCTGCTTCTTCAGATTGGAAAATAATCATTGGAGAGCGTTGACTAAATGAAACAATGCATATTGCACAACCCAGCAACCTGGGAGCCATTTTAACACCTGACTCTTGCTTATTCCTTGCATCCAATTCAAAATAAACCCTGTCAACCTCATCTCCGGAGTCATTCCTGAATTGTCCACTCGCTCCAGCCAAGCTGCCATCTTACCCGACCCACATTACCCAATCACTTCCTGACTCACGTCACTGCTTCTGGCTTTGCCCCTGTGCTTATTCTCCACAGGGAAGACTAAAGCATCTTCTCAGACAAGTCATAGCCGTTTCAGTGGACCCACCCTGCTCCTAGATACACAGCAGGACCCTTAGCCAGATCTGCGTGGTTCTGCCTCTCCTAGCCTGTCCCGTGCATTTCTCTCTCTGAACATACTGCAGCCAGTTAAGCTCTGTCTGCTCTGCACAACTCCAATGTCAGCTCCTACACGCATTCTTCTCCCTTCCCTAGGCAACCGCGATTTCTTTGTAGTTAACATTCTCCGTACAAACATGGCTTTCTCGGGAAGGCTTCCCTGACCCGAGACCACATGGATGAATCTGCGTCTCTGCTGTGGGCCCTGGGAACACCTGGTGTTCACTTAAAGAGCGTCCTACTTGTTTATCCTTATGTTCATGAATTTGATTAAACTTCCTCTTTCTCCCCAAGTGTGGCAAGCTCCATGAAAGACAATGTTTCCTCTTATGAGTTTTCTCAAACCCAGGACAGGGCCTGACACATAGTAGGTAGAAAGTCAATGTTCACCAGGGATGTAGCTCAATGGTTCCGCCGCCTGCCTTGCAAGTGCAAGGTCCTGAGTTCGATCTCCCCGGTATAAAAAAAAAAGTCAGTGTTGATCAGTCCAGTGAGCACGTGGAAAGTAGACCGTTTCCCATAGTGAACACTGGCATTTGCTTATATTGTCACCATCATAATACTTCCATATATAGAGGTAATTAAAAGCCATTGAAGTCCCCCTTATATGTCTTTTAAAAAAGTTCATTTCTCTGTAGTAAAATAGAAATTAGAGACTGAAATTAAGACCCTAGGTTTGAGACCTGACTCTGTCATGTGGTAGGAATAATCATGGCCAGATTCCAGGCTGCAATTGCTGAGGACTAAATGAGTCCACGGGTTGATATGATTAGCACAGTGCGTGGCCCATGGTAAACATTTAATAAGTGCTTTATTAGTAGTAGCAACATTATAAACAGTCCAGAATCTGTCTCCAAAAATCCATGTGCCCTTTAAAATGACCCCTACCTTTCTACTTATCAGTCTCACCATCTTCTAAATATTTGTTCCTCTCCCCACACTGTTCAGAGGGCTATTTTAAAGATCAAATGACTTAGTAGGAAGAAAACCCTCTTCAGAAATTATGAAACAGAATATGAAGGAGGAGGTTACTACTGGCAACCCTAAAACACAGGCTCTGGACATATTCCACCAAAATCCTCATGGCCTTTTCCTGGTCTTCTCTTCGTGATAGACTTCTGAGGGGAACGAGAGTGGACGCACACAGAGAGCCGCCCAGAGGCTGACTGGTGAAGTATGTGCTCCGGTGCGTAAGTGGAGGGGAGGGAGAAGTTGGTAGAGAGGGTGTATTTAGCCCAGCCTCGCCCTGGGCCCTATGTTGGCGCCACCTGTAGCCGACCCACCCACTGGCCTTGCTGAGGGACCTAGAGCCGCTACTGTGTTCTGCCTGCCTGGGGGTGAGCAGCAAGAATGGCAGAGACACGGAGTCAGCCCAACATGCAGGCACCTGGGGGCTCTCGCCTCTAGAGGAGCCCTGCCCGTCTGGCTCATCTCACCTTTATTCACCCAGACACGGGCACAAGCAATCAAAGTAACACGAGATTCATCTGCTTTCCACTGTTCATTAGTGCGTACTCTGGTAACAACTTAACCCCGGCTGTCTGAACTTGCCCTAGAGCCTGTGATAGGCAGTCACCCCTGAGTGCAGCGTTTCTCCTTTGTGCTCACAGAGGAGGCCAGTTGGGCCTCAGTTCTCCCCTGGTCTCTGACAGGGGTGGATGTGCGGAATCTCTCCTGCACAACGTTTCCACAGTTCCATCTCAGGGACGTTGCTTAATCTGCTCATGTTTAGAGTGGGACTAAGGGCAGACCTGCCTCCTGGGTATTGTAAGGATTAAATTATGTGCCTAAACCACTGAGAATGTGCCTGGCCCTGGCACATGTTGTATTCTTAGCAAGAGTCAGTCATCATGAAGGTCGTAGTTATTTTCATGTCATTCTCATCACCATCATTATTCAGTTAACTACTACATTTCAGGGCATAGATATTAAGGGTGGTTAAAGAATACCCAACAAACTTATTCCTTCAAGATGGTATATTTGGGTTTGACAGCAAAGAAACTGATTTCCTGATGTGTGAGAGTTATCTGCTGATCACCTCGGCTTGGGCAATAGATACTGGGTCACGTGGCAAGGGCAGTTTCTCAGAAGCAGAGAACTCACCGAAAAACACCCGATTAACCATAGCTTCATCCCGTACTATGGATGTGGTAAAACTTCATCCAAGGCAAGTGTGGTCCCTCCTCAAGACACAAAACCCTTTTTACTAAATAACTGCCCAGTAAGAGAGGGTTGGGAGATTATCATGTAGCTTGAATGCATGCTGAGTGTGAGCAGTCGTCAGTTCCTGGAACGGTTAGTTGTCCAGTTCAGCTCAGCAGCCGCTGCGTTTCCTGGGGGCACCAGCACCTCTGTGGCCCTGGGAACTGGAGCCGCACAGCCAGCTCTTGAGTTTTATTTACTACTGTAGGCAGCAGTGAAAGACAAAATCAGCACTCTCCCCTGGTGCAAGGAAACAACACTGAGAAACCATGGGAGTGTTTTCAATATTTTAAAAATAAGAATAGAAGATAACACATATTTGACACACCCATGTGCCAGGCCCTCTACTGACTACTCGCTTCCCATTGCTGGGTGCCCACAGTAGTCCTATGAAGCGTCGTTCCCATTTTATAGATCAAAAACTGAGATGTTAAGTAACTGACCTCAGGTTGGCTCACAGAGCTAGCTACCGCTCTGGGATTTGGACCATGGTCTAAAACTCACACTCAAAATCTCCTGGACATATTGCACAATTTAATGTCTTGTTACATTAGTGTCTGCTGTTTAAGATTTGTATTAGTCATTACTCATATTGTCAACGTTTTCCACATGAAGGACAATACCGTCAGAGCTCTTTGGGATCCAGGGAAAGGTTGTCGACCCGAAGACTCTCTGCAGAGTGTAATAATCACTTCTTCCAGGGACCAAGGCAACTGAAAGAATTGCAGCCCTCTAACTAGAAGTCCCTTGTAACTTCCCACCTGGTCCATACTTAGGACACAAAGGGAAACAAGACTTCTTAAAAAATACCAACCGCACATACCAAGGATCGACTCCCGGACGATTGTGTAGGAAATACCACTAACCACATGGCTGTGACAGCGACCAGAAACACTTGTGAAGTGACCCAGGGTGGCTGGAAACTCTTCAAGGTGTTCCCAGAAATACAGTAACACCAGAGGCCCACGTGCTCATGGCAGCAGGCAGGAAGATTTGTCACTTCCACGCTGCTGCTTGTTGATTCCAAAATGCTCGCTAACACTGAGGTGTGTGCCTTCTCTAGTCAGCAACACCCACCACTCTTGCCATGTGGGACACCCAGAGGGCAGCTGTGCAGGGCGCAGGGGAGGCCCAGGGCAGCTGGAGGGGCCCTAGAGTTGAGCCTCAGGGTTCTCTCTGCTCCAACTCAGGCAGGCAGGCCCTGGGGTAGGACAAGCTCCTTCCGGGCAAGCAGAAAGCGCCTCTCTATGGAACCATGCAGGACGTGCATATGGGGAGAGGGTGCGCTGTGGGGCCCCTGAGCCCCAGATCCAGGCAAACACTGGGACAGAGCAATTCTCCCCCATTTGAAAATGGAAAATGGAAACATCCTACAAACTGAAAAGCACTCACTACTGTGGGAAGAGTGAAGGGAACTCGGAAGAAGAAATATCTGAACAATCATCAAGTCTAGAAACCCATAAGAAGAAAGACTGAAAATTTTATCATTTAAAGAAAGAATAGAAACCATGAGAAGAAAAAAGAGACGATGAAATAAGAGCTGTATAGAAATGCGTAAACAACATGGTCAAGACAAGGTGCGGATGTGCAGGCGGGGCTAGGACTGTTCCCACTCAGAGGGAGCCCTGGAAATGGGTCCAGAAACTGGGCTCCCAAACGCAGGCTGGGGAGCACCATGATAAACCTCTAGGAAGCCAATGAACAGCCCCAAGCAGAGCCCCAAGAGTCAGCTCCAGGACTGCACCGGTGTGGCTGAAACCAACAACTGCACAGGAAGTAAACATCAAAGACACAGCGGGAGAAGACAGGGCAGACAAGGAGACACCCACTGGCCAAAGGGGATTTCCTGTGCCCTGAGATGGAATTATGCAGAGACTCATGGCAACATTCAGCTTGCTCCAAGGCAATGAGAAATAAAGGATTATCTATAAACACAGGTGAGAGGAGTAAAATTTCACTAAATGTCTTTTTCACATAGAAGATTCTAAAATTCTATTTAATCCTTGACTTTGAGCATAAAAAAAAAATCAAAGACTGGACTTCGGAAGTTTAATATTAAGTTGAAAAGAGGGTGTACACCTTCCTGATTGCAAAGAAAGTGAAAAACACACACAGCATCCCGTAATGCAAACCCCCAAAGCAAGAGGAATAGCCAAGAAGCCAAAAGTAAATAGATCAAGTAGAATGCAGTAACTGAAGCTAACAGAACAATCTGCATGGCAATAAACCTAAGTGACTTAAATCTCTGTATTAGGAAATAAAGATTCTCAGATGGGAGTAGAGAGTTAAATCCAAATACCTGCTACCTCCCAGAAACATTTTTTAATGCTCACATTTAAAACAAAAGGAAGGGCAAAGCAGGGTTAAAGAGAACGAAATGAAAAGTAGAGATACAATACTATTTCCTGGCAATGTAGTCCTCAAAGACAAAAGCAATTAAGTAGAGTATATTCATTTTTAGGGTATTTATGTTGACAAATTGGAGAAGGGGACAATGAAGGAACAGTAGTAATTAATCCCTTCATGCATCAATTAACCTAATATCA